CCCTCTTGGGGGGGATGCGGGCTCCTCCCGCTGGCAGATCTGGCAGACGCATCTGCCGTGGCCCACGCATTCAAACTACTGAACGCAGATGACACAGCGGTTGCACACGTCGCGAGATCAACGCTGGAAAATGCCGTCCGCCAGAAGATACGACGAGAGCCAACGGAAGTTGATATCGCCGGCTACCTCTCGGGCTCGCTCGAGGGGGAATTAGCCCTTCCCTCCTCTAGTCGCGTGACCTTTTGGTTTAAAGTAAGATCCGCCGCCTGAAGGTCATCAAAGCGGTTAGGGAACCGTTGGATGTGGAGCGAGGTTCGTAACGAACTCTCACTGGAGTGCCTGGCACGCGGCGGTCGGAGAGTGATCATACCTCTGGCCGCCAAGCGGCAAGTCATTGGCTGTCTGAGGGCCGCAGTCTCAGAACACCACATGTCCGTGCTTCTTAGGAAGCCAGACCAGGGGAAGGTCTTCGACGCGACCTCCCGCATGGAGCGAGCAATCGCTTCATGCGGACAGGTCAGTACCTGCGCTTCGCAGACTGGCGTTTTATTCACCGCGCGCGCCTCGACGTGCTCCCCTTAAATGGTGCGCGTCGATGGGGCGACGGTGATAAATGATGTCGGAAGTGCGGGTACCAGGCGGAGACCTTGCCCCAGGTGTTGTGTCACTGTGGCCCACATTCGGCCGCTCGGCAATTGCGACACAACACCATTGTCGAGAGGCTTGCCGCGGCCTCCAGGCTCCCCGGAGGGGTCAGAGTTAACCAGTGCGTCCCGGACGTCGGTGGAGACCTCGCGGCTCTGCGGCCTGACCTAGTCATCACGCACGAGCCGTCGAGAACCGTCGTCATGATTGATGTGACCGTACCGTTCGAAAACAACTTTGAGGCGCTTGAAAGGGCTAGAATAGAAAAGATTAGTAAATATAAACTGCTCGCGGAAGCACTAGCTAGAAACGGTCACATCGTCCATGTCGACGGCTTCGTCGTAGGCGCCCTGGGCGCCTGGCACCCAAATAACGATAGAATAAACGCGCTGCTGCGCGTCTCACAAAGACACTCATCACTAATGCGTAAGCAAATGATCTCGGAGACCATCGCGTGGTCCCAGGATGTGTACGTGGAGCACGTCTCGGGCATCCGACAATATTGCGTGCAGGAGTCGACCGCTCGGGAAGCGGCACTCCCCACGAGCACGCCCGCGAGCCCGCCCGCGCGTACAAATACCTTCGCGTTCGCCTCAACGAACGGCTCCGAGAACATGGCAGCGCAGCAGCAGCAGGATTCTGAGCCCTCCCTCCCCATAAATTAAAAATTAAAATAACGAAAGTGAAGCACACGTGCCCGTATGTATGCCGGCGGGAATCGGAGCAACTCGCGCCTTAGTTCAACAGCATAGCAAACACTAACTCAAACACTCAGCAATAGTCATCTCAGGCCTCCCCTATCATTTTTGCAACAATCAGCTCCATATTTATAAAACAGCTTTACACTCTACACTCAGCCTTCATAAACAATAGACTCAACTCCCTCGAGTTAACGCCCCGCAATCCGCCGGCATCCTCATTCTTATTACTGCTCAAGTGCCGCCCTATCACGGCGACAATGACACTGGCACCTAGTGCCATAGTGATTCTACTCATTTCACTATTATCGCTACTATTACCATTATTTCCATAAATTATTACTATTACTGTTTTTATTATTATTACTATGAATATTGATACCACCAGCGCATATAATGCATAGTAGCGATTGATTGATACTTTGACTGTAACCATTATCATCTTTTACTGTATCCAGGTGCATTCGACCTAGTCGACGCAATTTGGGATCAACAATTTCTAAAACTTTACATTATCCGGATGACATTACACCCTATAAACTCATTTATATATCTCTATACTCTGTGCAGCAATCTTGCAACAGAGGAATAAGCCCGTGCACCAGCGCCGGCTTCCCCCCTCTCCTCCTATTTCTAGGCGGGCGTGCGCCATCGGCACATGCCTGCAATTAGTTGAAGTTAAATTAATTTAAATTATGTATGACAGGGCGGTAAGAATAATCCCACCGTCCCTGTAATTTCTCCTTAATAGATAGTTATAGGGAAAGCTGCGCAACAGTGTAAAAGGGTGGCGTATTGCAGGGCCGAGAAATCTCGTGCCGAGCCCTGCAATTGTCAAATTATTTTTTTTATGTACTTGCCCTATGGGCAGCACGGAATGCGCCTCATTGTAACATCCCCCGGGGGTAATGTTCCCGGGGGAAACATTGATTGACAAAATAAACTCGAAGTTTATATGCATAAGGACCTGAGAGACCTGAGCGTGTATGGAGTTTGTGTGTCTGAATGAGGGCCGTTGGGATTTGGCCCAATAAGAGCTTCCAAAAATCAGTTGCACTAGCGAGAAAGTTGCATGGGAAAACGCGCGTGAAAAGTGGCCGGAAAAAGTGCGCGCGGTGATCGGTGGTGCGAGGGAGAGGACGGTGCGAGCGGCAGCAGCGATGTCCCCAAGCAGCCAGGGGAGAGAAGAAGACGGAGGACATCGCCACCAGAAGGAGGAGGAGAGCTGCCCCCTTGGAGGAGTGTCCTACCTGCAGGAGAACAAAGGGAGGTAGTGGAAAATTCGAATTTCTCCGACCGTCGAACGGATTCGACCTCTGGTGTCTCCCTCGCACCCGCCCGTGTTTACTAGGGATAAGGACAAAGAAAACAGTTTTATTTTATTTTACTACATTTTAATCTATTTATTCGTGAGTGTTGTGTCGTGGACTTATTTATTTATTTACTTATTTAATCTCGTAAACATATTTATTTAACTCTCGTGGTCCCATTTACGTTACGTGTATAACTATTTATTTAACTTATTCGTGTCCGTCTATTTATTTATTTACTTATCTATCTAATCATTTGAAAATTAATTATCTCCTTTAACTATCTAAGTGCGGTCTATTACCTACATACTCGTGCCCAAATATTTATCATACAACCGATCTCGCGAGTACACGAGTGAAAGTGTTTGAGGAATTCCGGGAATTCGCCGTATTTACGGACAGGTGAGGTGCTGTGCTCGCTGTCGCTTACGAGACTAAGTGAGAGCCTTCCCCCACCACCATTTTCGGGAGACGTTCCGAAGCGTCGGGCGCTTCGAGACTGACTGACGGCGAGCCTGCCCCCACCACCAAGTTCAGACTCTACACGGCAAGCGAAATTATGGCGAACGAGGCGCGTAACAATGGCGAGGCGGTCGTGCTGCGCTACTCTCCACCGGAGGTTTTTACGTGCCCATATTGCTATGCGGGCAACTCGACTGCCCAGATGAAAGGGAGTGGTGTGTATAAACTGCACGGAAGCTTAGCGAAACATTTAAAGCATCACCACCCTTCATCTTCACTAAAGTGGGTCTGCTCGGAGTGCAGCTTCACAGACGTCGGCGCCTGCCCGTACAAGGCAGTTAAGCTGCACTT